CGTTTCAAGCATGTTAAAGGTAGTCGGTAGTTATTTGCTTCACTTTAGTTCAACTAATGAATCTTGTCACGATTCCTAATTGCGAGTTATAAAACAAGTCCATTTTTGTTATTTATAAACAAAGCTCGCACTGTTTTTTTTACTTGTTTCACTAGTCAAAACTCGGAGTTGTGTGTACGCGTGAAATTGGTGTCCGGACGGTGACCCAGTTGTGGCTTTGTCAGACAGAGACGGGGCGTAGGGGGTAGGAGGAGCTGGTCCATTACTGTAACAAACTGGTTCATTGTGTACACATGTTTCCATTTTTTGCAGGAAATCTTCCTTTATCGTCGCCCAGACAAACGATTCGAGGCACTGATGCAGTCTCAACATGCTATGGCAGTGAAGTCACAAACACAACCATACTCTCCGCCTCTCTCTACGGAGACCATTCTTTCCACTCACCCTAATGATAGCTCTGTGTTCCCTCCTCCTGCCGGAGATAGCGCTTCTCAATGCCCCGACGATGGTCTTGTTGTATCCGATGGAACCCAAAATGGAACCGTCAGTCCCGTAAGTTAGGCTTTTCTGGGGCTCCAGGCATCAAATTACTAATGGAGTAAATTCTGCCCAAGTTATGTGATGAGAAGCCAGCAAGCTCTTTCTCACGATGATTTGTTTGGATCACTCAATGCGTCCATGCTTTTGGTGAAGCTCAAAATGGGTGATCATTGCTAATCATGAGAGCCATGGATGGGCAGCAGAAATCTGAGGATTGAAGCAAGTTGGCAAAGGGTGGAGGTTTAATCTTTAATATTATAACTTGAACTGGTTAAAGTTGAGACCTTTTTATGCAAAACCATTGCAATTTTGTTTTACACATTTAACATTATCGAGTTGAGGCATCCAATGACCTGCCATAATTCTGGGAACTCGAAATAACGTTTTCAAAGCAGTATGAAGGTGATATTTGTACAAATTTGATGACTTGAAGGCTTTTAAAGTTAACGAAATCGCCATTGTGGATTTGTGATATCCGAAAACATGCTATGATCAATGAATCAATAGTATAGGTTTATCACTGTGAGGCATTACTTAATTGATTACTTCAGGCTAGTGCAGCTTCGCGTAATGACACAAACGGAATCGAGGACCATTCAAATAAAATTGTTGGTGGCGAACTCGGCAGCTTTTCGAAGAAGTTGGATGAGACGGAAGAAAAAGTGAACAGTGCAGAAACAGACGCATCAGCTGGGGCCAAGTGTGGGGCCCATGAGAAAGAGGAAAGGGAGGAAAAGGAAGCAGAGAATGACGTTTTTAGTGGCCTCTCTGACCACGAAAACCCGTGTGACGACGGCCTCTCGCGCGAACAGCGCAGTTTTGCTCGTTACGAATCTCCTCGAGACGTGGAGGGAAGAGAAGAAAAGACGGTAGAAGGGGGAGAGGAGGGGAAGGACGGAGTGACAAAGGAAAGGGTGACTCAACTCGCATCCTTTGATTCCCCAATTCCTGCAATCACTTGACCGCTTCTCTGCCTATCGTCTTTCCCTCGAATTCCACCTAGCAAATGTTGATTTCTCCGTTTTCTTCCGTCTTTTTTGTAAAGACTGATTTTACCTCGTCATCAGACTTACCTTCATAATCTCCACTTCCATGTGCGCATACTAGTCTCAAGATTTTGTGTGACTTCAACTCCGGTCGGTGCCCACGCCGTTGCTGATGTTGTGACACCAACACAAATTCTTAGCACACACACGCACGCAAGCATATGCATTATCCTTTCATAATTATGTGCATCTATTGACCACGCATTATGGCATTTTTATATGGATAAAGTAGAGATTTCGGGACTTCGTCTGCGACGTCACTGGGTTAGTAAATACAAGAAGCTGATTCAGCCTACCACGTCGTTGGATTGAAAAGATTCTGTAATGTTCCAAGTTGTATGGAGTCTATGGGATTCACAGGGCCACCAATGACTTCCGTGTACCCTCAGATCATCACCGTGGTTTTCAGATTGTGCTTCCACAGCGTTGACTCGTACTAGTCTTATTGTCCCCTTGCGGAGGCTGGGATTTCGTGCTTCTTAGTTAGGTTCTATTTTCAGTACGATCTGCAAAGTTCGTAAAGTAGGAAACCCGGTTCACGGTTTGTCTACCAAACTTTGCACCATCAAAGAATTACCAGTCATTAGATCTACGGACTCATTCGTTTTGTGATTTCACTCTGCTGAGCAATGAGATGGCACACAATGGAGAAACCTCAATATGCCATAGTGCAAATGTATTGGTGTGCCGGAAGGTTCTTAGGTTCCATGTTCAGCACATACATTTGCATTTTTTGAGTGGAATTGGAGTGCCTCAGAAGTACAAGTGGGATTCTGCGGAAGACTTGAATCTCAGACCCAGGTAATTCATTGGCTCCGATTCAAAACGCGCTCAATTGAACCTCGAAAACAACCATCAGAAACAACAAGAACGCACTTTCGTGGAGATTTCGGAGGTAGTTTTAAAAACAGCTGTCGACATTGGTGTTTACCGGAGAGGGAGTGGAGGGGGGAGAAGGTGAATTGTTCACTGCCAAAGGATGGAGGTGACCACATATGCTCATTATTTGGTGGCGGACGAAGACTTAACAGGTGAATCGGGTTGGATCGCTATGGGTGAAAAGGGGCGATTATTTCTGAAATTGTGAACTTATCAAGGGACGAAAATCCGAACCCGGTAGACACGTGTCCGAATGCTCTCTAGTATCAATAACCGGGTCCGGAAGCCTCATCGTTATTTTCGACACAAGAGTGAAAGCATTGCTTTCCAGCCGCAGACAAAGTAGATGAGTCTTCATTTCAAAGAACCAATTCGAAGGGAATGATTTCACGACGATATCGCTTTTCAGCTAAAATCTGACACTCCTCTGGCCGCAAAACGAAGCAGACTTCCAAGAAAACTTAGAAGGCTCAGTTCTGCAAAGATATGTGCCGAGTTGAAAAACTCAAGTGGATGAGTTCACTCACCTTTAAGTCATGACGATTGTCTGGTGGTACTGATCAAGACCAATGCCTATTGACTGCTTCCGTAAGAGTTGCCAGAACTCTAGCGATGGAGCGATACATAGGAAGTGCACTTAAACCTTAACATCCCACTCTGAGTAAAGACCTAGCATTTTGGTGCAAAGGGTATCTTAGTAATTATACAAAAACTTCAAGCTTCAAAATTGGCGTCTTCTGTAACTGTGCAGAATTAGTTGCATGGTGAATTCACACAAAAGCAAGAACGGAGACTAATGCGCTTGCTAACACAAAAACCTCGTTCGTGGTGTTAAAATGCACTTTAGCATTTATTCATCAGAACCTAAAGTTGCCTTTCGCCAAGCAACGTTCCATACCTACAAGACACCCTGAACATTCGTATTGCAGTGGGTTAGTATGCGTGCTACGGTTCGCCTAGTTCCAAATTCGAATCATAAACACAAGAAAGAAGTTTGTTCCTATGATTTCAGTGATTTTAATCCCACCCTCGCAGATAAGGTTTCCCTCCATTGAGTCATACAGATTCCGAGTTACTGTAACCTCATTTTTCACTGCATACATATGTCCTCTGTGATCCCATATATTTCTGACAACTACCTCCAAAAAGGGTTGTGACGCAAACAAGATGTGCGAGTCCAAGAAGGAAGAATGGATACAGGATGCAGTAATTTACGACTCCAGTCCGGAAAGAGAATACTTGCAAAATTCGTAGCAGATTTGAAAAATATCGTGATCAATGGAAAAATTGTTGTTATGTTTTAATCAATCAGCTCATAAAAGAGACGTTCACATCTAACAATGCACGACTAAATAAGATTAGATTATGTCTCGTTAGAAGTAAAAAAATATTTTTACAAGAATCAAGTCATACTTGATGCAAGGTATTCTGAGCAGCTCCCGTTCGCTCTTGCACGCACACAGGGCAGGCGAAAACTCGGCCGAAGCGTGAGAGGCAGGCCTGATGAAAGACGTGAGAGCATTGAAATACCAAAAGAGGAGGTTGGTGTGGTCCGCCAATCTCCTGACTACCGCCGGAGCGGCTCCCTGTGGTGGATGAAAGAAGAGTTTGACGACAGACTCGACAGATGGCGGTGCCACCCCACTCTCCCGCCTTCTTTCCGATGTCAACAAACACCCCACGACTTTGAACGCGCACCAGACGGGAAAAGACCTCGTGAAGATCTTTCAGCAAAATGTTCTCACAATTTCGTCGCAGCTCAATTTGCATCTGTCAAGAGGAGTGATGAAGCACTGTAAATTTGAGCCAAGGTCCCAGCAGCGCATAGGCAGAAAAGATAGCGCGTCTCAAGCCTTTACGCTCATTTTCGCTCCATTAAATGGCAAAATAATTCACTACACATACACCGCTCAAAGCAATGAATCCTTTTATGTCATCGTTAATTAAAGTAACTGGAAATTAGAGCAACTGATTCTACCTCATCGCACTGGAATGCTTTCAGTGAAAAAGTCGCCTACCTCCTCAATGGCCAACAGCAAAGACGTGCTCGTCGCAGTTGATCACTTAGCATCACGCAAAATACTTCATTCCACAAGGCTCACAAACGCCCCCTTGAGACTAACTGTTAACCTTTTAGCAGATACTTAGTCATCAGCTAGTACCCATTTGAATACAAAGAAAATTACTGTGTACATCAACCGTACCTTTGTTTAAGTGAATCATCCATTTGGAACTGTTCGATCAGTTGTTCAACATACTTCACCATGTGACCCTGGATGCCATGCGTCTACAAAATTGTACCAACGACGCTCTACTTTTGAAAACGCTCAACACAATCCGTTCCCACAGCCCTCAAAACTGCTTAGCTTTGGCCCATTGAAAAGACTTCGTTTGCGAACTCGCGATAGAGAGGTTTGCAATAAATTTCCCACGAAGAAATTTGCGTTTGCTTCTGACTGACATTCATGAGTATTTACTCAAAACTCTAACAGTTCGCATTAATTGCTATTTCTCTAGCTCGGCAAAACTGCATAAGCAGTTGGCTTGTTGAGATGAATGCGTTGAGGACGTTTATCCACCTTTTCGAAACAAAGCTTGGAGCACAAAATATACAAGAAGAAACCCACTAACTCCACCTACCAATGGAGCTTCCCTTGAAAGTGGCACTCTGTTGGCCCACGTTTGCTACCTTCTACAGGCTTTTCTTTTAACCATTGACCATCGGCGATACCCAATAACAATGAACTGTTAATCCAAAGAAGCATCATATTCTCAACATACAGCAGAACAAGCGTTCAAGCAGATAAGCAGACAAGTTCCATCTCCAAAATGGCTTAAGGGATTTCCCTCAAATCATTGCTTCAAATTCAAATATTATTTACCACAATAAAGTCTCACAACAAAATAAGCCGAAGTAACAAACTTCAATATGCCTCGGCTTGAGTACATGCCAAATGGGTCAAAAAACCACTCCTGATAAGTAGTATTTTGAGGCTTGGAATAAGAATATTTCCGACGGTGCAGAAGCACTTACCATCTATACAGAAAGACATTGAAACCGGATTGGCGAAACTAATAAACAAA